GTTGGACTTCTATTATTGGGGGGAGGGGGGAACTCCAGTCAGGCCAAGGGGGATGAAGACAAATTCCCTGTCTGTCCTCATGGTGCCATTTCACACTGGGGGGTGGGGGATGACAATTTTAACTATGATTCCAGGGGCATCTTAGGCAACTGAAATCTTAGGCTACGTCTACACTGGCAGCTTCTTGCCAAAGAACTGTTCTGCAGAAGAGTTCTTGCGCAAAAAGTCTTCCACAAGAGCGTGTCTACACTTTTGCACAAGAGATGTGCTTTTGCACAAAAGTATCCATGGTAGTGTGGACGCTCTCTTGCGCAAGAAAGCTCTGATGGCCATTTTAACCATAGGAGCTTCTTGCGCAAGAAATTAATGTTTCTGTACTGCCCTCTTGTGGAAGAGCTCTTGCGCAAGAGGGCTTATTCCTCATGGGAAGAGGAATAACTCTTCCGAAAGAAGCCCTGTTTTACAACGTTATACTGTAAATTTACTTGCGCAAGAACACGTGTGCAGTGTAGACAGCAGGCAAGTTTTTGCGCAAGAACGGCTGTTCTTGTGCAAGAAGCTGCCAATGTAGACATAGCCTTAGTGTTCCTGTAGTTAACAGAAATATCTGGCAGGAGCAGTGTATCCAATTCCTGTATCAAGAAAAAAAATATTTAGACTCAGTCAGCTCTAATATTAATATATTCTGGCACCTGGTGGCAAAGTCACCTTACAGCTGGTTAGGTTTGAAATTGTATTGTATATTCTTACTCAGCTATGCTTACCTCTAGAATGACAATTCACCTTTCAGTAATTCATCTGTTGTAGTCTTCCCTTTTACCAGGTCCTCATCCATCTTTTAGTTTTCACATTTATCCCCCTCTTCTCCAATGTAACTAATAATTTATCATATGGAACTGTATCAAATGCCTTACTGACATCCAGGGAGATTAGACCTACTGTATTTCCTTTGCCTAAAAAACAAAATCTGTTATTTGCTTAAAGAAAGATTAGTAACTGTAGAAAAAAAAAATCTACAAAGTTGTCTCAATTGTTTTATTCTAGAAGTGGTAACGATTACTTGCATTTACTTATTTTTTGCAGTTCACCCAGCTTGGAACAGACCCTTTAACTTTTGGAAATATCTTACCAGCCCTGACTTATCTTAATCACCTGTTAATCATTTTGTAAATAAACAAAATTCGGACTCCCTGTGCTTCAAGAGTGCAAGTTAGGAACAGTAATAGATATGTAGCCCTGTTAGTCTGGTCTAGCTGAAACAAAAAACAGGACTATGTAGCACTTTAAAGACTAACAAGATGGTTTATTAGGTGATGAGCTTTTGTGGGTCAGTCCCACTTTCAATTTGATCTGAGGAAGTGGATCTGACCCACAAAAGCTCATCACCTAATAAACCATCTTGTTAGTCTTTAAAGTGCTACATAGTCCTGCTTTTTGTTTGTTAGGAACAGTCTCTCTGTGGAGCTCCTTACATTGCATGCCGTCACCTTGTTCTGGTCCCCTGCTAATGTGAAAGCTGACCAATGGGTGGCAGTGTGAGACAGACAGAAAACAGGTTTCAGAGGTAGCAGTCTGATTCAGCAAATTTTAATCTAGTGGCTCCTAAAGACTAACAAAATGTTATTATGGCATAAAAGCTTTTGTGAGTTGCAACTTACTTCATCGGCTGCATGAAGTGAAGGAAAAAGAAACTGAGTAGGGGTACAGAGCAAGGAATGTTACATCAGCACTAATTCAATCAGAATGGATGTGGATAAGAAGGTGAGAATACCTAACGTGAAAAATTACTTATAGCAACGAGGGAGCCATTCCCAGTCTCTATTCAGACCTATTCCAATGGTGTCAAATTTGCATATGAATTCCAGCTCAGGAGTTTCACGTTACAGCCTGGTTTGAAGTTGTTTTAATTGAGGATGGCAACTTTCAAGTTGTGTATCTGTGTGTCCAGAAAAGCCATCAAGGCAAAGATTAAATGATTAATGATCTAGAAAACTTGACCTATGGAGGGAAGACTGAAAGAACTGGACTTGTTTAGTTTAGAAAAGAGAAGATTGAGACGAGACAGAATAGCAGTTTTCTAGTATCTAAAAGGGTGTTACAAGAAGGAGGGAGAAAAATTGTTCTCCTTGGCCTCTGAGGATAAGGCTGAAATTGCAGTAAAGGAGGTTTAGGTTGGACATTCGGAAAAACTTCCTAACTGTCAGGGTGGTTAAACCCTGGAATAAATTGCCTAGGGAGGTCACGGAATCTATCACTGGAGATATTTAAAAGCAGGCTGGATAGACATCTATCAGGGATGATCTAGCCCAGTGTTTCTCAACCTTTTTTTTATATATATAAAATATCCCTTTAAAAAAAAGAAAAAAAAGTTAAGTACCCCCAGAACCTACAGATTTCTGACACTCATTTTTTTTCTACCATTGCAACACATTTGTTTAAACAACTTAATCGTAGCCGGGTGGGCGATTACATTTTGGGGTGTAAGTAGTACAATAATAAAGCACTGTAAAACTTAAAACAAAAATTAAGTTCTCTCCAAATTTCAGTTGTGTTGACGTACCCCCCCAGACTTCTCTCGAGTACCCCTAAGGGTACTCATACCTCTGGTTGAGAAACACTGATCTAGACAATGCTTGGTCCTGCCGTGAGGGCAGCAGACTGGACTCAATAATCTCTCAAGGTCTCTTCCAGTTCTAGTGTTCCATGATTCCCTGGTAATCCACTGAGTACTCCCATTTTTTATAATGCAAGGATTGGCTAAAGTACTTCATGTCCTCTAGTCACTAATAAAGAGACAATGGAAAATGGGGAGGGAGTTAAGAGGTGTCAGATTATGGATCATGGGTGGAAATGCTTTATGGCCTGGTCCCGGCCCACAACATCTCTGCTGCAGAGTGGGTGGTTATTATTAACCCATATAACTCGTCTGTTTCTGCCAAAATGCTCATCAGCGAAATGCTGACATTTAAAATTTCCATTAGTTGGCCTCGCACCTACATAAATATAGGTTTTTTTACTATATCCTCTGTCTTAACAGAGCAATGTGACCCCAAAAAAGTCACGTCAGGAAAGAAACATCTCAGAATTGGATTATGTGTAATACAGGCTTGTAGAGCACATTAAGCAAAGTAGCTTTTCCCAAACAATATCAGCACCGATTTATTGTTCTAAGCTCTCTGGTAAGGATCCATGCACCCTTCCTCTCAGCCACACAGGTTGGAGTTGGTACCAATTTACTTTGGAGCTTAAGTAAACTGGTACCGAAGAGGGCAATCAAAATGATTAGGGGGCTGGAGCACTTGACCTATGAGGAGAGGCTGAGGGATTTGGGCTTATTTAGTAGGCAGAAGAGTGAGGGGGGATTGGATAGCTGCCTTCAACTGCCTGAAGGGAGGTTCCAAAGAGGATGGCGAGAGGCTGTTCTCAGTAGTGACAGATGGCAGAACAAGAAGCAATGGTCTCAGGTTACGGGGGAGAAGGGGGCGAAGAGAGTCCAGGTTGGATATTTGGAAAAACTATTTCACTAGGAGTGTGGTGAAGCACTGGAATGGGTTACCTAGGGAGGTGGTGAAATCTCCTTCCCTCGAGGTTTTTAAGTGGGTGATTTAGTTGGGGTTGGTCCTGCTTTGGGTTAGGGTTAATGGACTCAATGACCTCCTGAGGTCTCTTCCAGCTCTATGATTCTATGATTCTAGATTCAGGATTTTTGCTACAAGCCTCGTCTACCCTGGGCTCTTACTATATGTGCTTTAGGTGCACAGTTCATTTTACAAGTCACACTTGCACTGCTCAGTGGTTATTTATTTGTACTATAATAGCCGTTAAGAGCCCTAGCTATGAACCAGGACCACATTATGCTAGATGCTGTATAAATATAGAATATAAAGATCATCTCCTCAGCCCTGCACCCTAGGCACTTAGTCTTCAAGCTGCTTGAATACCTTCACTTTGCTTCATGCCACTGTATTTAGGTAATGATCACTGAGCTGCAAGAGTAGTGAGGCAAAGGCAGCTGTGGCATTATGTTTGTCACTAAACTTGCAAGAATTCATGCCAAGTATTGTTAAAGGTGGTGTCATTGCAAAAACACGCTCAGAGGAAACTGCACATGGCAGTTATTTGTGTGATACCTATAGCTTGGCAGCGTTGGATTCCTTATTAGCAGACACTGGGACTTTTGTTGCAGTGAAAATCATTATCCCCAGTGGGAGTGTGTTTGTTAAAGACTTAGTTGTATGTGTAACCGAGAGTGGGCCAGATATCACCGCCCTTCTCCAGTGTCTAAAGAAATCCCCACTTCCACTGCGGTACTGGAGACCCAGAGTTTAGTCTGTTAGGACTTTCAGCAAGGATTGCCAAGTGTTACCCTCCCTACATTCAAGTTCCAAAAGAAACTAACATAATGAATTTAAATTAAATAACTTTATAAAATTTTATGAAGAAATAAATATTCTAATTCTTACAACAGAACAACTATTTTACAATCCACAAATAATGTCTATAATTACACTAAACATAAGTAAAGAGAAAACTAGAAGTGAACTGTGAACAGTTCAGTCCACACAAACATAGTAGGAAAAGACTGAGAGGTTCCAAGAGCTTAGATATAGTTCACCAAAGTCTCAGTTTGTGCCTCTGATATCAACTCTGCACCATATGCTGAGTCTGAAGTCTCTCTTTCTCTACACTTGCTTGTAGGGAATCCTCGGCTGGAGTCCAGGCAGATTCTTCCTCTGCTATGGTCACTGCTAGGCAGCCAGCTCACTGATTTAACTAGTCAGTTAGCGCACAGATGAACAGACTTAAAGAAACCCTATTACAAGAAAATTAAAAAAAAAAAAACCTGAGAACAAAATAGAAATGACTCTTTTCCCCATTGCTACATTTACAGAAGAGCTGGAAAAATCACATGGACTGAGAAAGTGAACTAGAACAGTCTAACTAAAATCAAAACAGCATTTAAAGCAGACAATTAACAGAGATGTTATTTCCCCTCCCAGGTTCTCCTAGCTCTAAGTAGCATTGCCTGTGATCCCCAGTAGAAGGTTAACAACACCACTACCTGCTGCTAAGTGCTGCAGAGTGAGGAACAGCAGCCAGTTCTCTGCTTCTGGCTTAGCTTCCTCCAGCTCATCCTTAGAAAAGGATCTGCCCTGCCTGCTTGCTCATGAAGTCTGACCCCAACTATTGGACCCACCTCCAGAAGCTTTTGGATGGAGTGCAACAGTAACACAGCAACAGTAACACTCAACTCACTCCTACCTCCCCCCACAGCAGTCTCTTAAAGGCCCTTATTAAGGTAAGGGATAGCTCCCTATTAAGTGCATGGGTTACATATGCAATAAGTAGTTAGGCTGAAAACGGCTGAAGTGTAATATGACTGCACCTCTATAAACCGGCAAGGAGTCCTGTGGCACCTTATAAACTAACCGAAGTGTTGGAGCATAAGCTTTCGTGGGCAAAGACCCACTTCGTCAGATACATGTAGTGCAAATTTCCAGACGCAGGTATAAATATGCAGGCCAGAATCAGGCTGGAGATGACGAGGTGGATCCAATCAGGGAGGATGAGGCCCACTTTTAGTAGCTGATCTGGAGGTGTGAATACCAAGAGAGGAGAAGCTGCTTTTGTAGTTAGCGAGCCATTCACAGTCTTTGTTTAATCCTGAGTTGATTGTGTCAAACTTGAAGATGAACTGTAGCTCAGCAGTTTCTCTTTGAAGTCTGGTCCTGAACTTTTTTTGCTGCAGGATGGCTACCTTTAGAGCTGCAATTGTGTGTCCAGGGAGATTGAAGTGTTCCCCTACAGGTTTTTGTATGTTGCCATTCCTACTATCTGATTTGTGTCCATTGATTCTTTTACGTAGGGACTGTCCAGTTTGGCTGATGTATATAGCAGTGGGGCATTGTTGGCACATGATGGCATATATTACGTTAAACCTCTATAAACCAGAACTCTCTAGTCCAGCAGCATCTGTGGTCCGGAAGGACCATGGATGTTCCAGGATCAGAGAGTCCCCGTGCACTGGGGTGGGGAGGGAGGGGGAAATGGGAGCTGGGAACCAAAGCTTGGTGCACAGCTCAGCTGGGCTGCAGGGGGAGAGCCAAAAAGCCTGTGGGAGGGAGGAGGGTAGAGGGACTGGAAGCAGGGGCAAGCCTGGCCTTAGGGCAAGGTGAGCAAGGCAGTTGCCTTGGGCCTTCAGGGCCCATGCTGCCCAGCACCTGCCCGCCCGGCTGCTCACTTGCTGCCCTGGCTAGGAGCTGTCCAGCCACGCAGTGCAGCCAACCACAACATGTCATCTTGGGCCCTGCAAACTCTTTGGCTGGGCCTGAGCAGGAGGACCAGAAATGATCTCCCTTGGTCCAGATAATCCCTCATCTGGGACCAGTCAGTTCCCAAGGGTACTGGACCAGAGAGGCCCAATCTCTTACTAAAAAAATGATGCCCTTGTGTTGAAAGCCAAAGCTAGGGTAGTAAGACCCTTGTGTCTGTGCATTTGACCCAAACAGGTCCCAAATAATCATGCTTAATATGAAGACTGTAACTATGTTCAAATTGTTTAGAAGTAAGATCTAGAAGCAGAGGCAATAAAGCTTTGTCATAGGAACTTTCATTACACATCCAATTAGTGTTCCTATTTCATATCAGAAGAATCACAAAGTAATACAGGGATACTTTCCTATTCCTATATACTAAAAACCTTCAAATCTGATCCCAAATTTGCTATTACTCCTTAGAAACCTTTGATAAGTCACAATTGCATGCCTCCATTTCCCCATCTGTAAGACAAGGCTTTCCGGACGCGAGTGAAATCATTCAGAAGTAGTCAAATGCTTTGTTCTAACAGCATGCAACATTATACCCTTGAAGGACATTGCAAATGGCTTTGCCAAAACTATAGAGAGTTGCCAGAACTAGATTAAAAAGGAGGACACAATTATTGCAAAATGTGAGCTTTTATTGAATTACGCACACAAAAAGTACATTATAAAAGATATAAAACTACAATCTGCTCAAAGAATACTTTGCTCTGAAAGTACTTCACATTTATTCCAACAGTGGTGGAATGGGCCCTTTAAGATATACTGTGGTATAAAGTTTATAGCAAGCAAAGAACAAGCCTATTTCGGAAGTTTTGAATATGTAACATAGGAAAGACACTGAAGAATCAAATGCAGGATGATAGTATAATGACTCACTTAACAAATTCTCCTTATAACATCAAATAAATGCATCTTTACTCAGTATTATAACAAGAAACTCATATGCTATAATTCTTGGTTTGATTTGTTATTTCTCTTCCATGACTCATGATGCACGAGGCAGCACACTGAAATACTGAAGAAGAAACCTGACTAATGTAAACATCACTTGAGCTTTTCTGAAAGATGTGAACGGGGAGCAGCAGCTAACGGAACTTACTGCTCATTCAGAAAGAATAAATCTGCGAGCCAGATAAGAGGAAGCAAGAGCAAAATTAGGAAAGTATCAGGTTTGTGTCCATCGTTTTTCCTTCAAAAGTTGTATAAGCTTCTATTCATTTTGCGGAAAAGCTCTTTGTTCCCTTCTGTAAGGGGGGAGAAAAAGAAAAGTAAATGCAGAGAAAGCCTGTGTACCATTACAGCGACACTACTTGACCTTGTGAAAAAAGATCACTTAATCTGTGACTTGTTTGATGGTCTCAAACCTTATTTAGGACTATTAGGACTTAATTATGTGAAAAAAACCTTCCAAGCAATTGTGATGCACGCAGAACTTTTCATTGCTGGCCATCCATTGGTTTTAAGAAATCATGAAACAGAAAAAATAGAGATTTTTTTAGCAAGATGATAGTACAGAGGAAGAGGGGGAACAGAGGAGTAACATCTCTTATTTGATAATAGACACGCAGTATGAGTAACTTACCTGAATTGACTTTGTTAATGATAAACCTGAAAGCGGAACAACCAGGTTTTGTCCTAATATGGCCTCATTGATTAGAAAACATTTGCTCAGCAAACTTTGCCTGACAATTTTCGTTGTTAAATGTGGAAGTTTATATTACTGGTGTATTGCTTTGTATGCTTAAAGAGTAAGGAATTGAGAGTTAATCTCACATTATCCTTTATCTCTACTACATTTTACATCTTCTAGATTTTATATTGCACAAAACCCATAAACATTAAAAACAAAAGTAAATGCTCAAAAATCAGGAAGGGAAATATCCCTCTTAAGTTTAAGTTCATTAAGGGTGAGGTTTTCAACAGACTTCAACACTGACTTATGAACTTTCTTTTAGTGCAAGCAGATTTAAGTTAATTTTTTAAAAGGAAAAATTCACAGCTCTTTAGCTTTACAATTAGCAAGGTTTTTAAGCTATCAAATACAGGTTGTACCTCCCTGGTCCGGCAACCTCGGGATCTGATTGGTCCGGAACCAGGGAGTCTGCCGGACCACAGGAGATCAATGCTGATTCCTCTGCTACCATCAGCTGTGGGACTCCACTCCAGTAGTAGCAGAAGACCTGGCACAGACAGACCAAGTGGGGACGTCGGGGAGCACTTGGGGAAGAGGCAGGGTGGTTGTGGAGCCCCATGGAGCACACCTAGCCCCGTGGCTGCCAGGCTGATCTCCCAGCCCCCATCGCCAGGTGCGGGGTTGTGCTCCTGGCCCCCTGACCATGTAGCTCCGCAGACACCCTGTCTCTTCCCGAACATCCCCCTCTCTCCATGAGCTATTTGTGGCACTCCGGAAGCTTTGAAAAGTTGGGGGAGGAGTTGCTGAGACCAGTGCCCAGCTTTTCCATGGAAGTGCTCCTTCCCGGGAGCATCCACGGGAATGCCAGAGCACAGAGGTTGCTGAATGACGGAAGTCCAAACTACAGAAGTCCAGCCTGAACTAGTTTGTAGTTTACAAGCTGTTGTTTCAGCTTCCCAAATGTTATAATAAAAAGAACGAGCTTAATCCTCACTGTAGACTAGGGAAGTAAAGGGTTAACTGGATAGTAGGTCAACATCATGCTTACTGGGTGAAGCTGACCAGGTAACCATCCAACTGGGCTGGAGCTGCCTGCCGCTTGCAGGGTATCGCAGCAGGATCCCGGCTAGCCAGACTGGCCCTTGTGCCCACAGAGTTTTGGGCCGGAGGAGTCTCCGCCCACTGCAGGCTATGGACCCCGGTTAACTCATTCACTGGTTAAATTATATAATTTTTATCATTTAACATTTTAAGGGGTATTTTCATTCCTGGTTTAGACAAATGGTCTAGTGGTTGGAACACTCAGCTGGGGCTTTCCAGGATAATTTCTTTCCTGGCTGAGACTAAGCAGTGGTTTGTAGGCAGGTAGAGGTATTTTTTTTTCCAGAGAAATATGAACATGGTAAAATAGAGGATTAAAATAAAAATTCAAATATTCCTGTAACTGCAGCTTGTGCACTTGAACAGCTGCCTAACAAAGCATTAATTTAAGTGAGGCAGCTTTCATATCAGATCTCTTTAAACTGAACTTCTGCAACTCAGGGGGTACCTCTGCAAACTTTAATTGCATGAGTAGTTCTCACTCATGCATTAGTTCCATTGATACCAGATTATTCATGAGGATCGAGTCATATTAGGGGCAAGTAATTTAAACAAGACTTACTGGCTCTGTAGGTTAGACAACACTTTCTTCATCCAGGGGGCGTTGGGATTCACACACACTTTGGGCCCTTTTTTTAGTTTGAGTCTGAAAAACAAGCAGCGTGTAACCTTTCACTCTTCTCCAATAAGCAGCAATAGCTGTCCCTCAAGTGGGCAACTTATGGAGCAGACTTTAAGCTACTGAAGATGGAGAGGAGTGGGCAAATAAAAGCTTCCTCATGTCAGGCAGAATTACTTCTATTTGTTCAAAGAACCACCCCGTTTCAGGTTTTTAACTCAACCCACATGTAATCTGCCACAGTTGTTTTTTTTCCCTCTCTAGAAAACAGAAGGGAGTAAACTGAAGTACCCTGCATCTCAAACGTGGTCTCAGATAAAATTAGACTTAGCACCCATTAGTCTTACATAACACACACCTCTTCAAGAAACTTTCCTAAACCAACTCTAATTGCTCATTTGTATCTCCACTCTAAAGTTTATCCATAGCTCTATGGTCTCAACGTTAAGCTGGAAATCCAGTGACCTTAAGCTGTTTGGGACGATTTCCAGTGTTTCCTGCATCCATGCAGGAGACCACAAGAGCAATTTCATGCGGTATTTTGGTTCGTCCATTTCTAGACTGAGCCAGAAAATAGAAAACGGTGAAGCACATTAAATTAACACCAACAAAATTAAAAGCTTTCAGGATTTAACAGGTGCTTGATTTGAATCTGTCCTTACTACCCTGGAACCAGTTTGCCCAGCTGAAAAGAGAGGACAGTACAAGTCTGTAGTTAAACCAAGAAGATTTTTATACTTTAATTTTCTCCAAGGCGTAAGTCAACCTTAGGACTTTAGCATTAAATCCTAATTGCAACAAGTGACCAGTTATACAACTAAATAGTTGTATGGAAGCTTAAATGTAAAGGTATACACTTATGCAATGTATCTACTTAGTTATGAGGATGACACTAATTACACTTATAATTAGCATCTTGGTGCATTGAGTTTAGGAGTTGGAGAGTTTAAGCCCTCTCTATGCCTGGCTTTTCTGCTTTTGTTTCCTGTGTGATACCATTCCGGTAGTGTTGGAAGATGAAGTAGTAACAAGTAGCTCATTACATTTTGAGAGAGCCATAAGCTATAGCTTTTCAAATAGGGAACTTGATTACCTTTGAAAAGATGACCAGTGAGCAAAGAATAATCCCATAGCATAAGAAAACTTGGCTCAGGGTATTTACTGAGGCCAACAGTTGCAAGTTGGGAAACTAAATGCATGAAGATGGGCATCCTTCAGATCCCACTGGCCTAAATGCTCCTTCTGATGCGAACGGAATCCCCCATTCTAAAGACAGTTCCACATGTCTAAAAAAATTCTACCTCTTGCCGAGAGATTCTAGGCTCACCAACTTGAGCTGAAAAGTATCACAGGGCCTGATTCTCAATAGAGCTGTGATTGGCTGAAATCTGAAATGGCCTGTGATAAATAGGTCAGACTAAATGATCTAATGGTGCTTTCTGGCCTCAGTGCAAGTGAGAATTGGCACACTAAACCACCAAACGGGATTTTGAAGGGTTTCAATTCTGAATGGTTCCTTCTATTGTTCGTTGATGAGATGGACCAAACTACTTCTCAGATCCCGAGTCCAATGAGCAACTAAAGTTCTTTTGCCAAGTTTCAGTGTTGTAAGGGAAGAGGAAGAGAGCATGGGGTACTGACTAATGCATACTACTGGTGAGACAGACATTGATACCAGTGTGCTAGAAGAGCCAACGGGAAGCTCTTCCAGTCACTGGTGACTATGGAGATTGATACTGAGTTAAAAGCAGTCGAGGCTACTTACATAATTTCTGTGGTTCGGCAGGCCCCCCCAAGAGGAATGATCTCAATACTTTCATATTTCTTCGGATGTATGAAGTCTGAAGTGTGCTTCATGCATCTGCAGTTCTGATAGGAACCATTGGCTTCTAGGATAGCTGTGGAGCAAAACTTCATTACATTAGGTATAATTCAAGGGTATTAACGGAATAAGTATTTTACCCTTCGCTAGTGAGACAGCAAACTCCTTGGTACATTATTAATGGAGTTCTTAACCTCAGCAAATGGAAATAATGATCACACCTTGTATTTCTAAAGCCCCTTCCACTGGGAAGAACTCAATGCACTGTACTGGCCCATGCATTAGGCCTGGCAATACTGCTGTAAGTGAAATGGTAGTTAACTGATGGGGAATTGAGGTACTGAGGATCTGCTTCTGATACACTTACTGAGCAAATAGCCTTATTAAAGCAAATGAGGTACTTGGAGGAGTAAGGTATCATGTAACATAAGGGTCAGAGTGTTCAAGTTGATTTCAATGGGAGATTGGGACCTCTGAAAATTCCACTAGGAGCCTTTCTGCATCGTTATGTGCAGCTTTTAATTAATATTATGATAGTGCCTAGAGGGCTGGGCAGAGATCTGGTTTCCATTGTGTTACGTGCTGTACATACAGATAAGAGGCAGTTTCCCCCCACCCCCTTGATTATGTGGATTGTAAGTTTGCTGAGTTAGAGAGGAAAGGGAGGTGAAGTCACTTGCCCAAAGTCACACAAGAGATGTCAGAGCTGGAAGCAGGACCCAAGTCCCCAGACTCGGAGCCCCTGTCCATGGGATCCCACAGCGCAACTCCAACGAGAGAAGGCCATTTTTAATGATTTCCTTACTCTTCCACCAAAAGTGAGCATCCCCCAACCTATGCCATCAAGAAGCAAAAGTGCTTACCCGCATCAGCAGAGTGACCGATCAGCAGCAGAGAGACCAGGAGAATGGCAGCGCAGGGGTTCATTCTGGCTAGAGCTTGTCGTTAAACTCTCACAGCAAGTTTAACTTCAAAGTTGATCTGAGGCTTCTGGTGGAGAGAAGGTTCCTATTTATTTGGGAGGGTCACACTGCAGTAAACTCAGCAGAGTTCTATTTTTAGAAACCAGTGCCGAGAAGTAGCATCATCACTTCACGGGTGCCTACCCAGACATTCCCCTGAGACAAGTTGCTGAATGTGCATTATTGCTGATACAATCAGCAGAAGGAATTAATAAGCATTTTGCTGATTTTACAATCAGCTAGACAGTAAAGGGAAAAAATGCATAATGGAAGAAAACCAATTAATACTTTCCTTACACAAGATGGCTTTAGGAAGTGGAGGCATTTATTACTTAAGTATCTTAGGGTATGTCTACACTACAGCACTAATTCGAACATCCGGAACACTAGGCCTCCCAGTACATTAACCGCAAGGGGTACTTCTCCGTGATCCTGCAGGCCGTGTCTGACCACCGGGGCTAATTCACGGACATTAATGTGGGCTGGTCTGGCAAGGCACATGACGCCAGGGTGTTCCGGAACTCCTCCGTGTGCCAGAGGCTGCGTGCCGGGACATGCCTGTCTGCCTGGTGGAGGATGCAGCCTACCCCCTACAGCCCTGGCTGATGAAGCCGTACACAGGCACCTCAACCCCCTCCCGGCAGGCCTTCAATGCCAGGCTCAACAGGGCCCGCATCGTGATCGAGGGGGCCTTTGGACGCCTGAAAGCCTGATTTAGATGCCTCCTCACCTGCCTCGACCTCGCCAAGCACAATATCCCTCCCGTGGAGGCAGCATGTGTGCTGCACAATTTATTCAAATGGAAGGGGGAGGCTTTCCTGCCAGCCTGGATGGCTGAGGCTGAGCACATGGCTGGCCAGTATGCGCAGCCCCGCACCGCCGCCCTCCCATCGAGGGGATGTCAGGATCCAGGGGGCCCTGCAGGAAAGCTTCCACCCTGAGAAGTGCCAACAGTCTCTCTGGTCTGCCCCACCGGAGGCTTGTGCCCCATTCCTCCCTCTCGTCCTTCCACTTACCCTTCCCTATCCCCCGCTTCCTGGTGTCAAATAAAAGACACGTATTTTCAAAAATAACTCTCTTTATTTAACACAGCTGGGGAGGGGGAATGAAACTCTGGGGAGACAGGAGAAAGGAGGTGGGAGAGGGCAGGAGAGAGGGTGGGAGAGGGGAGGGGAAAACCTGGGAGGAGAGAGTTGGAAGGGGAGGAATGGAAGTGAAAGCTCAGGGTTTGGGGTCCTGCTGGCTCTCCTGTCTTGCAGCACTGTGGGTGCGGGGGCTGCGGGTGGGAGTGAGTGTGGAGGATGGGGCAGAGGGGACAGGGGGTGCGGAGGAAGCAGGAGGGGGAGCTGTTAGTTTGAATTAACTTTGTAGTGTAGACATACCCTTAAAGCCAACAATAAATGTCATGTTTACTTTTCTGCATTGCACGGCACTAAGCATACCGGTACCACACATCGCTTGCCCTAAAGTGCTTACAGTCGGACAGACATTATGTTTAGCCCTAGGTAGAATCGTGAAGCACATTCAATGGATTAAAAATTGGCCTAGCTCAACGTTAACGGGAAATCATCATGGATGAGTGGTGTTTCCAGCAGGACTCTGCAGGGTTAGGCCTGATGTGGATCAACACCATCTATGATCTAGAAGTAAATATAAAGTCCCTGCTGATAAAACTGTCAGATGACAGACTGGGTGGGAGGGGATGGTATACAACAAGGAGAGCAGTCAGAGTGACCATTCCAGGCCTCTGGGGAAAGATGGTGGGGCCCTTGGGGGCAGAAGGGGTGGGGCCCTAGGGCAACCAGCCTTCAGCACTGCTTGGATTGGGCTGTATTAGCCACCACCACCCCAAGCCCTTAGAGCCACTCAGAGTTTGCTGCATGCTGCCCCGGCAGCAATTTAAAGGGCCCGGGTCTCCAGGCGCTACTGCTGCTGCAGTAACGGTGGCCGTCAGCAACCCTGGCCCTTTCAAATTGCCAGGCTCCAGGAGAACCACCCATTTGCCTCTCTCCCCGTTGGTGGGCTTGCATATTAATAGAGCCAAATGTAGAAGTTATGCATGGAGGAGCAAGGAGGGCAAACCATGCCTACCGAATGGGAGACTGTATGCTGGAATGTGAGAGTCCAAAAAAGTGCTGGCGGTCCAAGTGGCCAAGCAACCCAATGTGAGTCCCTTCCCTCAGAGATGCCTCTCTGGGTTTTCTGTCTAATGTACTTGCCTGAGCCAGCCCAGGAGAGTAGCCTCCCTTTACAGCTAAACATCTGCTCAGCCCCTGAAGTAATTCATCCTTTTCCCTGCCGAGCACCAGGGGGCCATCCCATCCTCATTGATTCAACTGGGCAAGCTCAGCATTGTCAGAAGCTGCAGTGGTAGGAGTCTCCCATTTGGTACCCTCCCAGAGTTGTGTGGTGGTGGGCAGGGCTCCACCACCATGGGGAGGTCCCTTCTAGTTCACCTTATGGACCTAAAATCTCACACATCAGGACTTCCATCATCAGTGAGGGTCATGAAGGAAACTCTTCCTCTGCTGTCAGTCCAACATATTCTTGGGTTTGTCCTCTGATGCATCAAAGTAAGCTACAGCTGGAGATAGGACCGCCGATGGGGTGGGCTAGTGCTGTGAGGTGGTAACTGAGAATTCATCCTGCCTGTTTAGCAGGGCATTCGGGATCAGGAAGGAATCTTTCCTGTGGTCAGATTCACAGGGGTTTGGACAATTTGTTTTGCCTTCCACTGCAGCACGGGGCACGAGCCACTAGTTAGGATCCCCTGGGCATCCCACGCTGTTTGTAGCCTACCATGGCTGGAGCGTGGGGCATCGAGGCGTGTTAATCCTTCCTGTCCTCTGCCTGTAACACAGTCCCCTGAGGGCTGTACCACTAGGGTCTCTTTCCGGTGGTGGTGATGTTTGGTGTGTGGGTGGCAGGGCAATAATTAGTGATCTGTGACAGAGGCGGTCAGGCCAAGGGCCCAACAGCCACCGCAGATTTTAAGGCAAGATATGCGTGTGTAGATGTACCCAGGGCCGGATTAAGACCTTTAGAGGCCCTAAGCACTGAAAAGATTATGGTGCCCCCCAGATGTAATTCAAAATAAAAACAATATTATACCGTAAAATCTCTCTTTTTTTTTTTTTTTGGTGCCCCTGCTTTGCTGGTGTCCTAAGCACGTGCTTGGTCTGCCTATTGGGTAATCCAGCCCTGGGGTGGCTACTCGGATGGAAGGGACAGTGGGGAGGCAGCCAGCCCTAGACACTGCCCAGAACACCATGCGCCCCTCTTGCCTCCCACCTTCAGAGCGGTGCTCCGGCACAGAATTAAAGGAGCTGAGGGCTCCAGCAGCAGCAACGGCCAGCGTCTCAGGCCCCTTTGAATCACTGGGCACTGGGCACCAGCCCCTTTTGTTCCCTCCCCTCCATTGGCGAGTCTGAGGTCAAACTAGATGATCTGATGGCTCTTTCTGTCCTTAGATACCACAGCCATGGGCTCACACAAGTACAGTTATGATTATGAATTTAATCAGAGTGCATCTGTCTTTAAAGGGCTTGTCCTCAGAATCGCCCCCCCTCCCAGGGAGGGACATGGACTGTCCTCATTGCACTGATACAGCAGGGAGAGACCAACTGATATGTCTAAGGTAATTCAGGCAGAGCAAGACTTGAACCTGGTCTCCCCAAGAATAGACGCCTCCCCTAACCACTGGACCATCTTTCTAGCCTCTCACGACTTCCTGTGGAGAAAACATTAAAAAAGCAACCCCTTAACTCTCAAGCCAGAAGGCCAAGGGAGAACCACAAATATGATGTAGAATGTTATTTGGCGGAAGCTGGGGGAGATGCTCATGCTAGACCCATGCTGAGGATTGGCAGTTATGGCAACAGCCTGACCGAAGGACCCTCAACCAGCAAGGTGCCAGGAAAAGTGGCTGACTTGGCAAGACGGGGAGAAGCACTCGAACGCCAGACTCATCGTCGCAAGCCTACGTGTGTCAACGGATGGTGGGCTCAGACTGTGTAGAGGTGTGCGCATCACACTCCAAATGCTCACGTGAAAGCCTGCTGGGGCTTAGGTATGCTGAGAATGGAACTTTCCAGAAACTTCTTACAGGAGGCAGGCCCAGGACTAATGCCTTGTGGATGTTACCAAAACAGGCTGGTTTTGAAGAGAGGCCTGCTACAGATGTATGGTAACATGATTCACAATGTTCTGCAGAATGGATTCAGAAGCACATGCGTGTGTCATAGGCCCCATCGTGCTAACAGGTTTGCCCGCAGCTCAAGATTTGAAACAGACCAATCTGGGGTCAGTCTACACTCCAGCTTGGCTGTTCTAAATGACACTTGTGCAGAATCATCATCTATATGTTTCTATCCACAGATAAAGTTTGGGATCTCATAGGACTGTCACTACCATGAACAATTTAAACATTTGAAGACAAGATGCACTAAGCAAGTAGAGGGAAGCAGGAAGGAAAAGGGGGTTACACGGACAGAATGATTGTAGAACGAGGTGCACAACACAGTGGCTTCAAGTCAGGAAAAACATTCTTTTCTGCCAGCCCTAGACACTGCCCAGAACACCATGCGCCCCTCTTGCCTCCCACCTTCAGAGCGGTGCTCCGGCACAGAATTAAAGGAGCTGAGGGCTCCAGCAGCAGCAACGGCCAGCGTCTCAGGCCCCTTTGAATCACTGGGCACTGGGCACCAGCCCCTTTTGTTCCCTCCCCTCCATTGGCGAGTCTGAGGTCAAACTAGATGATCTGATGGCTCTTTCTGTCCTTAGATACCACAGCCATGGGCTCACACAAGTACAGTTATGATTATGAATTTAATCAGAGTGCATCTGTCTTTAAAGGGCTTGTCCTCAGAATCGCCCCCCCTCCCAGGGAGGGACATGGACTGTCCTCATTGCACTGATACAGCAGGGAGAGACCAACTGATATGTCTAAGGTAATTCAGGCAGAGCAAGACTTGAACCTGGTCTCCCCAAGAATAGACGCCTCCCCTAACCACTGGACCATCTTTCTAGCCTCTCACGACTTCCTGTGGAGAAAACATTAAAAAAGCAACCCCTTAACTCTCAAGCCAGAAGGCCAAGGGAGAACCACAAATATGATGTAGAATGTTATTTGGCGGAAGCTGGGGGAGATGCTCATGCTAGACCCATGCTGAGGATTGGCAGTTATGGCAACAGCCTGACCGAAGGACCCTCAACCAGCAAGGTGCCAGGAAAAGTGGCTGACTTGGCAAGACGGGGAGAAGCACTCGAACGCCAGACTCATCGTCGC